AATGGTTGCTTCTAATCCTCAACAAATGTATTCAATGCAAATAGCAAATAGTGTGGGTTGCCCATCACGTGCCACCACTGCTAGTTGTTGAAGAATATGACCATTGGAAAGTCAAAATGGAAATGTTTTTACTAGCTAAAGAGAAAGGTGAAGCTATCCGGAGATCCGTCAAAGAAGGTCCTCATGTTCCAGTTAGAACAAAAGTTAGAGATGCTGCTACTCAGCTCATGGGTCAAGATGAAAACCGCCCATCACCTCTCACTGCAGATGAAATTGAGAAAGTGCATGCTGATCAAGTCACCTTTTTTGAAATGGTGTTTGGTGTTCGACTATCTCTCTTTGAACATATTAAGTTGTGCAATTATGCCAAAGAGATTTGGGACACTCTTCAAGATCTGATAGATCAGTTTCCGAAAACATGAAAGACAAGCGTTTGACATCCGTTGTCAACGAGTTTGACACCTTTACAAAAACTCTTGGTGAATCAGTTGCATCAGCCTCCAACTGACACCGAAACGTAGTCAATAACATGACTGCTCAAGGGATTGTCCGAACTCCTTTGGAGTACAATCTCAAGTTTACAAAACAACCTTGGCAAAGGATGCGGAAACATGAAATCGTGTCTTCAAAGCAATGGATCTTTGAAGAAGCTGAAGCTTTAACAACTATTTGATGAACTTCAAGGCCATGAATCAAACATTGCTCAGACCTTAAGGGAACTCTCTGGAGGTCTTCTTGCTCTTATCAGTTCCTTTGAACCTTCAGTTCCTAACCATCATATTCGGACCCTTTCAAATCTATAGTTCCACCTGTTCAGCCTCTCACCACTAACTATATTGTTGATGGTAATCTTGACTCAGATGCCGTGGACTTTGAACTCTGTTTCCAATAGGAGTTTGCACTACTCTCCATGAAATAGAAATGTCCAATCAATCCCTCTCAAAAACCATATAAAAATCGTTATCATGCTCCTCACCAAAGCAATCTATAACCATACTTTGCTCCAGAACAACAACCCATTCCGAAAAATCGACCAGCATACAAACCCAACATCACTAAGCCCAACTTCACTTCAGAATCTCAACAAATTCCGAAATCTAACAAACCTAAAATTATGTGTCATAAGTGTGGACACACAAATCATTTTGCAAAATATTGTCTAGATAATATCCCACAAAAACAGAAGATCAAGGATTCTGCTTATTATTCCTGAATAGCACAAGAGATAGTTGAAAGTGAAAATGCATTTGTCACAACTGTGTCTAGGGATGTGGAAGGATATTGGTCACCAGGAGATGATGATGGTGTGATTACTGGAAGAAATATGTGTGTAATGGCTAGACAAACAATTGAATGTGATGAAGGTTATTGGTCATCAGGGTCAGAAGATGAAGATGATGTTGCTGATCCAAATTACTACTACATGGCTACCAATGATCCACCTCGTCGAAGCATCGTTCAACATGTAAAATCTATGATTATTGATAATAACTTTGATATGTCTCTCTATGAATCTTATCTGACCCAGATCCAAACAGATATGAACACTGTCTATAAAGCCTATGAGTCAGCCATAGAAGCCAGTGAGAAGAAGGACAGTGAATTGAGGCGCCTTAAATTATGTTTCGAGGATAAGAAATTAAAGATAGAATCTTTAGAGCAAGAACTTGTAATGTCACAAGATGAGTGTATCATTCTTAAAGACAAATTTGAAATCACTTATTTGGAAATAAATGTTTTAATTTCGGATAATAAACGTCTCAATGCCAAAACTGATGCTTTACATAATTCCATTGACTTGCTTGAACAAAATCAAAGGATGACACACAACTTTCGTCATCCTTGGTAAAAATCTCTTGGTCTCAGAAGCGAGTTTCTCAAACAATTAGATAGTCCCTTGAAGGAGTTACAAAACCTGACTTTTATGGGAGAAGTTCCGAACCATCAACATTCGGACACTCCTATTTCTCCCTTGTCACCCCTTCATGAGACAACTGACAATTTTGTATCCTTGATTACTGAATTGAAACCAATTATTGTCAAGTTTCCTGATTCCACACCACTTCCGCCTCTGAAAAACCTGGATTTGAATCGGACCACGGAATTCCACCACAGTGTTTCAAATTGCATAGATTATGTTCCGAAACATAATCCTCCGAACAACTATGTTGTTGAGGAAATAATTCCTATCACAACTGAAATTGTTACTTCTGAGTTTGCATGGGCATCCTTGGATGATAACATTGAAACCTTAAACAATGTCTCCTCTGATTATTGTGAATCATATTGCTTAGTTACTTCCAAAACAACATTGGTACCCATCAAGCCCAACTTTGAAAACCCTTCAAGTGGTCAAACATCTAATTCAACATCTGACCAAAGGAAGAAACCCTCTTTAAACAGAAATGATGTCACTAGTCCTAAGAATAAGGCCAAAAATGCACTTAAGAAGGAAGTTAGGTCTAGACAAAACTTTAGATTTCTTGAAAATGACAAA